TAAACTTTCATCAAACTCTTTTTATCATCCTTGGGCCCAACTGAATCAAAAATAGGCCCTGTATCAACTCGTATATCAACGACCACTACGAAGTCGCAGTCAATTATAAAAGCTCTATACAGATTAAAAGCGGAGAATATTATTTTCCATCCATTACTATGCTTGAATGTATACACGATATATGTATATAGAGAAACACTCAGTCTATCAAAATACGGCAATATTTTCACACTTTTATTTCTTCGTAAAAATATTTTCGATAAGAGTTCTTATAAATGTTTCAGAAATTGAAAAAAGAGAGAGTTATACCGATATGTACAGTCGTATTCAATAAAAAAGCGTTCAAGTATTAAACATAGAAGATTTCGGCATTCTAGATCTCGTTGTGTAAAATTGGCTCAGCCAATGCTTTGTGTTTTTGAGAATTTATGATTACTCTACTGTCAACATTTGGTAAACATTCATTCCCGATAGCCCGTTTTACGCAAATAGGATGACGTTAATTTCTCCCTCCAATTTACTTGTACGTTTTTTTTTTGATACGACTGTACATGTGAACGGGTGTGTGACATACACATGGATTTGATACGGATTTGATACAAGTTCAGATATTTTTTTTAAAACGCGTAACAAGATGATCAGAATTCTGAATCTTGAACCACCCTGTATCTGTTTCGATTAAATATCAGTAAATAGTTAATCAAAAGTTGAGATAGGGACATGTGAGCCGTTTTGACCGATAATGAATAGTTTCGACACAAAAAATCCTAAAGTTGAAAAATCTCGATTCTGAACACCCTATTTCTCTGCAAACATTTCCGCTAGACCCCAAGTATGATATATCGATAACATCAGCTCTCCAGGGAGAATCTAAAAATGCGATGAAATACAGGGTGTTCTATTTGAAATATCAATGTTGCTACTACTTTCTAGTTCATGGATTTCTGCTTACTGATTCTCGATATAAAGATAGTGTTAGCTCGTCATGACATATCCTGTATATTGGAATATATACTATTACAGAAATATCACCGTATGTATAGGTAGTCAATATATTTTGAGGTAACATATGTTACTTACGTCGAACATCATACATTCGATGAATCAAAAACTATAACGATGAATAAAATATCTTATAGTGCTTTATGGAAGGATCATCGACCTGCAGATCCAAGACTTTATATTTTCCTGATCAATTTCTCTATATGTATATTCTTCATGTACTTCCAGTAGTTATCTGATTATCTGATGAAAGGCAGATATTGGCTCTGTCACTTTCTTGTTTATAATGTTTATCCATGCATATCAAAATGAGATACAGATCTATACAATAAAATGATCAACTATCTCCAGAAAAATGATCAAGTATCTTCGGAATAATTATTATCGAATATTTCGAGAGCCAGTAGCCACCCGTAGTTATGGGTATGGTTCAGCACACACAAAATAAAAATTTCTCTCATATCAACCATTGTATACAGGGTGATTCAAAGTAAATGTTTCAATGGCGTATTGTCGGGATATAAGACTTTGTTTTCTAATAATCATGTATCCGACCTATTAAGAGTGTTGCCCCTTCTCCATCCCCCCTCCAAAACTGGGTTTACAGAATTTTTGAGCAAGATAGGAATGAAGTGTCAGAAAAAACAGGAGCATGCCATATCTCAGAATATTTGATCCGTTATTTTAGTCACAATTTTAGATAATATTTTTCTTACCTGAGCTCACAGTGTCTGTAGCTCGGAGAGGGTGCTTTAGGGCACATGAATATGTGAAGAAAGAGCCCTATTTTGAACAGTTAAAACGCGAGAGCTTTTTTTGCTAGCGAAAAACGTTTTCCAATGGGTAATTTCACGAGAAGAACTGACATGAAAAAACTGCGAGACCGTAAGTCGAGCAGGTTTGTCCAATGTCAATTTTTAGAGAAAAATAACTGATGGAAAATGTTTGACTTAGGAAGAAATTTATCCAATTGAAAAAATAGGTTCGAGTGTTTTTTGGCAAGATAGATCATAACGCCTGTAGGGTAACATTCACCCGAGGGCCTCTGGCCATATTTCATAGTCAATAAATAGTACTGAATATTGGTATAATAGTAAAATTGAAACTAGCGTGTGGTGAAACACTGTATCAGCAATAAGGTTAATATGAAAATTCGAGATATGGACAATGTTGCCACATAATTTCGAAGCCCATCGATGAATGATACTTATTAAAAACTAGAAATTATCTAAATTGATGGCTAAAATTCCTCATATGAGTAGGTAATATATATTTTGGAAACGCAGTGCACAAGTTTCTCAACATATAAAATATACAGAATGTTCCATTTGAAGACCACAAAGCGAGTACAATGAAAGTCACTTCTTCTTCTTTCGCTGGAAAACGAATTTTAAAGTTTAATAGTATATTTGTAAAATATACAATTCAAATGTTCAATCAAAATTTTTGAGAACGGGTAATCATTTATCGGTGAAAACAATAAAAGTATACTCAGACTGCTATGATTTTCTAATTTTTTAAAAAATGTGAACTTATCGCTCCTCAAAAACGATGAAAGTTCAAGATAAAGTTTCTTCTTTTCGTCATCATGAAATTCAAAAACACACTATGATGGGATTAACGTGTATGCACTGCATATACTGCGATAATTTTTTCGATTCGACGACCGCGCAGCAACATTTTTGCTATGTCTCGCATTGACTTTCAGCGTTTCTATGGTGGACAAGAGAATTTGTTTCATGAATAACTTTCAGACTATCATCGATATTGTCAAGTAGCCCAGGACATTCAATTCTACGTTTCACTAACATATTTTTGGTACTGATATATCATTTTACCGTAAAAATGGACTTTCAGCGTTTTTGCTGTGTGGTGTTCATTTGGTTTATATCTGAATAATAACAACTCATTCTGAAAATCTGACTGCACCACTGGATTCTACAAGAGTATATGAGCAACACTTTCTACTTTTCCGATAAGTTGATAGATAGCTGATATACAAGGGGGCTCACAACACAACTTTTTCAATTTCGCCCTGTATCTCAATAACAGAGAGAGTTATCAAAATTTTGTTTGCGGTATCGTGAGTTTCACAAAAAAGTTGCAAACGTTCGAGGAAAGCACAAAACTCTATCTCTACCAAAGATTTAGACGAACTTTTCTTGCGGAAAACGGATTTTGAAAAGAAAAGACCTATGTATGTAAAGATTTGAAATAGCTATCTTGTATGGTGAAACTTGACTATAGGGTAGGAGGTTGACAGGTGATTGAAAATGTTCACATAATAAAATAGATTTTCAAAAATAAAAATCAACTCGTCCGAGGATTTTTTGTAATATATTTTTGTTATGGAGATAAGGATTTCATTCTATCTCAGGTTTCCCTCTCGGGACACATATGTGTCCAGAACAAAATACAAAGAGAAAACAGAATGTTCAATTATTTCTGTAGTAAATATTATTATTACGAGGCCACGGTTTGCTATTTGAACCAATATTAATAAATGATAATTAATTATCTTCTATAATTAATGGACAGGATCACTTCTTGCGGTATGGTTTTGTAACTAATGAGCAAAGTCCATTACATAATAATTATTGATCTCGGTACATGGTATGGATTACATAATATCTAATATACTTACACAACGGTTGGTTGTGATCATTAACTCGGTTATTAATAACGATAGATTCTGCGTTTTCTCTCTTTTACATGTGCATATAGATGCATTTTCATTTCTATTTGTATAATAGATGTTTGTGCATGTATATTCAGTACTTACACATCACATACGGATAATATTCATTTCTTCAGATTTTTGGGATTCTCCTTCTCAATCTCTTCAAATGAAGAATATGTCATCTGTCATCTCAATAAACTTGTAGTAAGAATAAATCAGATGATTTTACCCAAAAAGACACTGCGCATGATATTCCGCTATTTGCAACCTAAGAGAGAAATACAATCAAGCGTTGGTGATATGTTTGAGGAAGAATAAAGAAATAAATCATAGAGGTATATTGAAAAATATGGAATTTCACTTATCTTTGGACGTTTCGATAATATTTCTATTATTTCATGAGATTGGTCTTTCCATTTGCTCCTTCTGACACTTGTTAAACATAGAGGATAGGGAATAAACAGAAGTAGAATGCAAAAAAATTAAATGTTCTTGTGACGTTGAAAAATAAACAGTATGTATCTGAAGACACCCTGTATACGAGGTAGGAGGTAGTACCTATGGCCTCAATGGGAGTAGTCTCATCACTGATACTGTTCAACTGTTTCTCTTGAAAAGAATCGATCCTGTATAGATACAAACTCAATTTGATTCAAGACGATGTCCTATATAATTAGAATAGTGATTGGGTATAACGAATACTGTTTTTCTGCAACCGACACAAAAGTCGTCCATTTTAATACCATAATTAGCTCTTTTATTGACTTTTCTATTTCTTACTCGAACAAAGGTATGTTGCTAGGCAACATTTTTAGTTCCTAGGAGCAAATTTCATTACCGGGCCAAACACAGTGGAGCATGGAGAAAATTAAATGATTGCTATATTATTGTTGATATATGCTTACTAACCTAACATTTTCCACATCTTTTTCCTATACCTGGCCCTGGTCTTCATATTGAAACTACAATTCGAACATCCTCAAAAATTGAATGAACCTGTTCTGTTGATACAGGTAAAATATTTTCATCATACGGATTATTTGTTGCATTGCATACATATGGCACGGCATTGGTAGTTACTTCACATAATTATTTTAGTCAATTTTTTCGGTTGCAGAAAAAATAGCATGTTTCATTCGGATCAAAAGTGACTGTTTGACTCGCAAGTTTTGCTTCTGCTCGACTTCATTAGACGATCCGCCTCGCAAATGCAAAATTCGCTTGTCGAACAAAGTGTCACTTTTGATCCTGATGAAACAAACTACTATTTCTACATTCTTTTGAATTTGTTTATCAGTTAATGATATGTTATACTTACTGGTTAACAGCAGGGCCGGATTATCCATAAGGCGGACTAGGCAACTGCCTAGGGGCCCCGCACCGACTAGGGGCCCTGTGCACTGAACGAGTTTGTTTTTGAAAATGTTTATACTCCATCAATATTATTCCCGAATCCTAATATAACCGCGTCGCGTCTCATTTCTGTTTCCAATACCCACCTCCTGTCCCTATCCTCCCTAAGAACGCACGATGTTCTTTGAACATCATAGGGATTCCCTTTCGTGCGCTCCAAGCGATAAAAAAAAATCATAATCACGATTCTGTTCTTTTAATGTATAAAACGGTGGATGTATGGAATTTTTTTTGGTATGCGTTCAATTATATTCCAAGTAGAAACAGGAAATGAACGAGCTTTCAATAATTGTATTGTTTTTTTATCTCGTAATTTTTCCACTGATTACAGGCAATAGGTGCTTGTTAATTGTCAAATTGAAACATCTAATAGGTAACGTATCCATGATACTATTGGAAAATTTCTTTTTCAAAGCAACGACGCAACGACTGACTCACTTGATAAATTGGATAATCAGTCACTGATAGATAGGTATATTGGCTAATGAGATATGTTTGAAATGTGAAACTTTCAAACGTTTTATTTTATATGTATTGTTCAGAGGACATCGGGAGAACCAAGGAAAATAAGGTAGAAATTGGTGTTCTTCTTAAATTTCTGGAGGTTATATTCCTCGGGGAACACCTCCCTTAGTAATATGTTCCAGAGCCTCGCTGTTCGTTGGAGTCTTTGGAAAGAGATGTTCTGCTGGTCTCCAAAGTGACCACGAAAGGTGCGAAATTACAATTGAAATAACCACTATTTCAGACCGCGTTGTTTTGTTACATCGCTGTTTTGTCACGTGCTGTTTTGTTACGCGCTATTTCGTTGCAGAGCCAAGTCAGGCATGTGAGGTGATGCTGTAGCATCAATTGAAGGTAACCATGTTGTTACAATATCACACGAGAAATTGAAGTTACAGGATACCTACCCGAGAGGATACCAAAGCAGTCGATCTGATCGACTCGACTTTTGTTATAAAAAAAATATCTTTCAGAAATTAAGAAAAAGGTAAACTAAAGGGGATAGGGGCCCCGAGAATCGCATTGCCTGATAGGGTTAATCCGGCCCTGGTTAACAGGGTTTAAAGTTTCATCAATCATTATTCGAATGGTATCGCGGGTTTTGAGGATTTTAGGCAAGTACCATCATAATATGTTAGTGCTACATAATTTCGATCACGTACCCTTTCACTTTCTAATTCATCTAGACGTTCTTCAGTGTATCAATTATTATATGGTATAGATATTGCTGGTGAGTTAGAATACAAATGTGTCTGTGTAAAAGTAGGTTCCACCGCACTAAAAACAGAAAGGAAATACCTCTTTTCTGAATTACGTAATGTTTCAATATACCACCAGTCTACCCAATGAACGCATAAACGTGTTCTCAGAGAAATTCTGTTTTCGAAAATTCATATTTGCCTATTTAATAACAGGTAATCTGAGGAAATACTCGGAGCAGATGAAACTGGTATAAGATTGCAGGTTTGTCAACTGTCAATATTTCTTTATTTCTGCAGTAACGGAATCAGATTACGAAACAATAAACAATTTCGGGTTAACACTGTTTCATCCATGAAAACAATAATGCTGATGAAGTTCGTATTATTTCGTTGCTGATCCAATAGTGAGTAGTTAGTTAAAATCAAACAGAACACCTAGTATGGAAAAGTTTTGATAATATTTCATCAAATATTATTCAAGTGAATGAGATCATATCACTCTAATTCCGGTTTTCGAGTCGACATCATATCTACCTTCTAAGATTTCCCATTCATAATCTCTATATATAAACTGATTAACTTTCTAGAATCCAATTTTATATACTTGTTGGGCATTTGACACATATTATGCTGTAACAAATTGATATAGAAATTGATTCATTCTCCAGTCAGGAGTATAAATCCTTATTTATCTGGAGCACCTATATGAATAACTGTGAAACCTCGAATCATCAGTTTTCAAATCAATTTTATTGATTATTACAGATTTTTTTTGTGATTTTCTCTCCTCGTCTCTATTAAATGAAAATATGAATACTATTTCAATATACGTGTAGTGAGGACAAATCAGATGATTTGCCCCAAAATGTTACTGCGTTTAGAGAATTTTCCTATCAGAGAGCCTAAAAGAAAAATCCACTAGCTTGTCAGTGACAATTTGTATTGAAAAGGATTTGGAGAAGACAGATAAAGGTATATAGAAGAAATATATCAAATTTTCACTTATCTTTGGACAACAACATGATTTTTTTATTGGTCAGTTATACTCAGTTACATAGAGCTAGAGAGTTATAATACTGTTATCATTCGAAAATATATCACTATTGTACTTCAACATACGTTTTGCCGTGATAACTGGAATTCACTTGTAAAATACAACAGTGCGGTTAATTTGTTTTATTATCTTCATCATGCCTCATGCGTGTATCTTCTCATTCTCCTTCGCAAGTCGCGAAACGATGTGAAGTTCCTACATTTATTCGGTATGTAGGTTCACGGTTAATGAAAACGACCTTGGGAGGTGAGTTGTTTTCAATTTCTCAAGCTGGAGAAGATTCAGCTCACTTCACTTTTACTGCAGGAATTTCATATTCGATACATTCCAACGTGTTATTTATCGTCATGACAAATATCAATGATTATTAGGTTGAATCATTTTATCTGAATAAATTCGTGCATCAAAATTATTCGAATTGAGGAATAATAGGTACTACCTCTCAACATGTGATTCAAGTAGTATATGACCGCAACTTTCTCTCTATACTGCTGAGTCATCATTCATATTTGATCAAATATGATACGTAATTGAATACTAATAATACTCAAAATCAAAACTGATATTTACTATTGATCTGATCATATTCAAGAGCAAGAGTGTTGAGTATAGCACAACGACGTTTTTTCATTTTAGGTGGTTATTTCCTGTCTAGCTCACACCACTATATCTGCAAAGACAAAAGAAGAGAGAGACAAGAGAAATATAGAATACCAAATATCTCATCCGTACCTGGCTCCGACATCATACAGACTGGAAAGGAGGATATCGTCGGGTCCCCATCAGTACCAAAACCCATCACAGATCTATTCCCGACCATATCATAAAGGTAGACCATATTCTTATCCTATTCCTCCGTATGCAGTACAAATGGAGCCACTCGTCCACTACTCACAAAGAGATCCTCTGTATGATACTAACATTTTGTCCCTAGATCCACACAACGATGACCTACTAACAGAAAACAACCATATCCAGGATAACGTGGATAGATATGGATACCATAAGCCACACATCATTGAGAGGCCTGTTTACATCAAGGAACCAGAGCCCATCATCGAAATCATCATCAAGGAATCGAATGTGAGCTTACCAGCACCTCCCCCACCACCACCTCCGCCAAAGAAGAAGAAAGAACAAGTACAAGTTTTCTACGTCAAATACCAGAAAAATCCACATGGTAGCGGCAAAGACAGTATACTGTACGACAAGCCAGTACTAGCTCTCTCGCCAAAAATTCCAGATGATCACGAACAAGAGGAAGAACCAGCACCATATAATGATTATCTTCCTGAATCAGCTACAGCCCCTCCAGCGCCTAGTACCACTTTGAGAACGATAATCAAACCCGACTCAGAGGTCTACCACAGTCCTAGTGGTGTCAAAGTCACCTTCGGTAAAGAAGGATTCGATTATGACAAGCGATCGAGTAAACCAGAGGATTATGTCCCTCTGCAGTCAACACAATTTCCACAGGGAAGACAGCTCACATCTTTCTCGAATGCTTATTTCAAAAGACCTTCCACAATTCAGAACTACCAAACTATTACATCGGGATTCACTAGATCGGATGCTAGGCAGCCACAATCTTACAGGACGATCAACTTTCCTCCTAATTCTCCTCCTTCCAACTACAAACCTTTCAGTAGACCGACTACACATTATCAACAGCAATCAAAATATTATCAAGGATCCCAGTTTTCGAGGCCGAATCCTGATTTTAACAGCTATCCGCCTCAGCCACCTGTTCCTCCCCAATACTCTCACACAATATCCCATCCCCCGCCTGTGAGATTCCAGAATCCCAGACCAACTCCACCTCCGGCAAGACAACCAGTACCTTACAAACCATTCGAAAATTTCAGGCCCCAACAAAATATTCCCCAACCTACTTCCATAAGCTCTTCACATCCTCAGCAGCCAGTTCAGTTCAGACCAGAAACACATTTTCCTCCTCATCAGCAACTACCTTTAACCCATCAGAGTCATACTTTCAATCCACCAAGGTTCAGTCAACCTCTACCCCAATACAATAGTCAAGAAATATCTGAAAATCCTAGTCAGCATAGCCAACCCTCCCAAAATCAACAGCAATATCCTAACCACCAGCAACAACATCAATACCAACAGTCCAATTACCTGCAACAACAGAGTATTCAGCAGCAACCAAACCTAGCCCTTCAACACCAAGCCAATTCCCAGCAGTCTGCGAATCACCAGGTTCACCATAATCAGTTCCATAATAATCAGAATTACCAGAATCAGCAGCCACAAGGCATATCACAGAATGAACACTTGAATAACGTCCAAGCTGTCCAAAATATTCTTCCACCTGGAGGCCAACTGATACAGTCTGTACCGAAATATGAGCAACATATTTCTTCTGTTGAACCACCTACTCTCCAACAAGCACAAGGCGCATCTGCCCAACAGTATCAACAGAAGAATATTCAGCAATACCATCAAAACTCTGCAGAGCAGAATTCTCGTGAAGTATTCCATCAACAAGAAAGTACATCTGAACATCAGAGAAGAGTACTAGAAGATCGTCACAGACAACAGCAGCACCAAGAACAATTGAGACAGTTTTACCATAAGAATCCCGATATACAGCAAAGAAGTCAGCATTCTGAGGCTCCTAGTACCCCAAGGTCGGATGCGTATCATAGTTCTAGAAACACGCAATCGCCTAGTAGTACCCCGAGACTATACTACCAAACCACAACTGCGGCTTCTACATCCTCTACGACTAAAGAACCTGAAACTCCATCGACAACTACTAAAGATCCTAAAGTTCTAGAGGCGCAGCTACCGGACGAAGTCCCAGCAGAGCTGAGAGAGCAGTTGCTTTCCTCCGGTATTTTGAACAATGCTGATATCTCGATCTTAGATTACGATAAGGTTGGGGATATACCTCTATCAGCTCTACCCCCAGATCAATTGGCAAACTTTTATGGGGCAGGAGGAGCTGCTCAGTTAGCATCAGGTAAGAATCAATTAATTCTCAATAAAGATCTAAACTTTATTGCCATGATTATATCAAACACTTCTACTACTGGTGGTCCAGATTGTGAGCTCTGAGTATCAGATAGTCTCTATATACCAACAGATACTCCTATACCAAACAAGAATCAATCCAGGTTATACCCAATGAAGAAATATAGTAACCGTGCAATAATTTCTTTTCAAGCGATGTAGAAAAGCAAACATTAAAATTCCTAGAAGCACCTACTCTAAAGTTACTTCAAGAACTGAGTTAATGTGCCAATACTTTCACTCGGTATACTATAGGTACTTGCCGTAGCGAGTCAATAGTTTGTTAAATATTGGACAGTTATCCCCGTATGATGAGATTTTCTTCTTACCGTTTTCATAGTGCGGTTAATGATTTCCCGTGGTAACATAATAAGGATTATCCTCGTTCGCTCTTCAAGCCCCGTTAAATTTGAAGGAAATAATATAGAGACAAAGGGGTGTCAGATCAAGGAATTCTCCTAAGGGGTTGACAGTTTTCGAAACCAAAAATGATGTTCCATTCTTAATTCTATAAAATTTATGGAATCTCAAGATTATTAGATTATTCATAAAACAAGTTTTATACTCAAACAATAATAGATCAACAGCAACAAAAAACTAGTTATATAGAGTTCCAATGAACAATGGTACAATGAACCAGTATATCATTTGACGAAATTCTATTCAGATGTGTATTGTGTTACTTTTGAATACAAAACTAGTGACATAAGTCATCTATTTTTTTTTAAATTCACCCGCAAAGTTTCGAAATATGTAAAACTCAAATTGAAGCTGTGATTTTACATGGCTCCAAAAAAAACAAAAGCGATCAGAATCTTCCAACTCCCTCAAAAGTTCTCTAGTCCATCCTCTTGCCAATAATGTGTCACATGCCATTAATATCTTTTAACAACAAGTGAAATTTATATTTCTTGCACAACGTAAATCTGTTTAAACAAATCACGAACTCCACCGACCCCAAATTTTTTTGTCGAAACATCACTGCCTACCTAACGTGTTAATTTCAGCGTACTCCGCGATCCTTTCATGCGTGGATTGGGCGCGATGGTCCTATTGTACGGCCGCCACGTTCCCCAGACCTAACTCCGTTAGACTTTTATGTCTGGGGACCTGCCAAAGGACTGGTATACGCCACGGAAGTTTCAACTAGGGATGTACTAGTCCAACGCATAGAAACGGCTTTCGATACCATTAAGGAGGAAATACGACTTCGAACAACAACTGTCGAAATACGAAACAGATGTCGAGCCTGCATTCGCAACAGAGGTCAACAATTTGAGCAGGATTTGTGAGATTTATGAAATGAATGCGACATAAATGTTGAAAATGCAATTTTATTTTTTGTTTATTTCAAGTATAATCCACGAAACAATAGAGATACGAGACTGATTTCACCTCATAAGAATAAGATAACAAATTCAAAAGGTTCAGGTATCATTCAAACAAATATAATTTTTTAAATCATAATTCTGAATATTTGCCTTATGTGACTCGATTCACAATTCTAGCGAATTTACAAAGTTGTTAAAAGATATTTATGGCATGTGACACATCATCAGCAAGAGGATAGACAAGAGAACTTTCGAGGGAGTTGGAAGATCCTGGTCGCTGTTGTTTTTTTTGTAGTCATGTAAAGTCTCAGCTTCAATTTGAGTTTCGCATATTTCGAAACTTTACAAGTAAATAAAAGAAAAACTAGATGACTCATGTCACTAGTTTTGTATTTTGATATATATATAGAATTAAAATCCAGAGTCTACGCCTTATACTTTTTTTCGGGTCTTTTTCTGATGAACAGATAAAAAGATGATTAAAAATAATCCACAGTCCATGAAAGGTGTGAACTAGTCTTGAAGGATAGCAGATGACCCCTTCATTCGACCATTTCAATTTGGCACACGATGCACCAAACACCCTGTATATATGTATATTCCTATCATTGTTTTTTCACCAGCAGGTAGTGAACCCGTACCATCTCTTCTTCGGCCCGAATCCGCCCCCTTGGTTTCTACCCGCCCATCTGACAATGAAGAAGACGCCCAACCTGCGGGCTCCGAGTCTGAAGAAGTCGTGGTGCCTGCTCCGTCTGTTAACCTCAAGGTGGTGCGATATAATCCTGACACAGAGGCAGGGCAGAAGGTGCAGGATAAGTACGTCGCCTCAGAGAATGCACACCACGTCGATCCAGTTGTATTGAACGATTCAACCTACAACAGGTGAGCTATCAAGAATAATCGTTACAATTCAGTTTGCATAGTTGAATAGTATATTGTGCAACAAGTGGGGAAAGTTCAACTTTTCTTACGAGTGTGAGAGTTTGTGGCACGAGCCTGAAGGGCGAGTGATGCAAACACACGAGTGAGAAAAGTACTTTTCCCCACATGTTGCACACTATACTTTTTCTACAACTGAGGAGCGATCAGCCAAAACCAGATAAATCCATTTCATAAAGTTTCGAGATAATGGCAAAAAACCGTCCATTAGAGCGTCCGTAACTTTAACCAAGAAAATAAATGGTGTAACTGAAATATGATCATATTGACCTGGTAAATACTGTTAATAAACATAGTAGGTAATTATTGCAAATCACAAAATGAATTTATCTGTTTTTACTTGAGTTAACTAATTTTATGATGTAAAAAGTGTTTATTTTGATATAAATATTTGTGATATAAAAATTCTTCTGCAACCGACACAAAAGTCGTCCATTTTGATACCAAAATTAGCTCTTAAATTGACGTTTCTGTTACTGACACAAAAATAGGTATGTTGCTAGGCAACATATTTAGTTCCTAGGAGCTAAAGTTGAATTTTAGAGCCTAGGTGCTAAAGTTGAACTTTAGCTCCTAGGAACTAAAAAGGATGTACTGGACGTCATCAAGAATAAACAACATTGTGACGGTTGGTTATTTGGTTTGAGACGCATATACCTGATTTGTTCCCGATTTCAGCAGATTTGGCATTTCATACCCATGCTGGAGATATAAATACACCTTATTATAGTTTAGTATTGGAATAATAAACATCTCAGCTGAGTATTTCTGTTTGATCAGGCAAGCCTTCAAGATTCTAATACTTGCTTGATCTGTATTTCATTCGTTATTCTCGGGATGGATAACTTCTTGTTTTTGAATAATCACGGCAAGCAATAGTTTTTTGTCTCAAACAACGATATTGTTTAGCTTCATTCGATTATCAAGTCAAACACAGTGTAGTATGGAGAGGAAAAAATAATCACTATTATCATTGTTGATATGCTCGCTAACCTAACATTTTCCACGTCTTGTTCCTATATAGCTGGCACTGGCGCGGTATTTGCCATTAGAGCACCTTGTCCATACACGATTATGTCACTCTGTGGTTGTATTTTTATTATTGAAACTACAATTCGAACATCCTTGAAAACCTAACCTGCTGTTAATGCAGGTAGAATATTCTCACCACACGGATTATATTTTTGTCAATATTTGTTGCATTGCATACATATGGCAGGGCATTGGTGGTAACTTGACATATTTATTTGAGTTAATTGTTCCGGTTGCAGAAAAAATAGCATGTTTCATTCGGATCAAAAGTGACTTTGTTCAACTCGCAAATTTTGCTTTCGCTTGGCTTCGCTAAACGCTCCGCCTCGCAAATGCAAAATTCGCTTGTCAAACAAAGTGTCACTTTTGATCCTAATAAAACAATCTACTATTTTCACGTCAATCAGGAATTATTCATGGGTTCTCAACATGTACAGTGTGTCCAGTTTTCGATGCTTCTGCGTGATATCTCAGTTATTTTTCGAGATAGGACCTTGCGGTGAAACTCAAGATGGCCTAATCAGATTCAGCATAACTGTTCGCGTTTATGAGATACAGGGTGATTTTGAAAATGTATACTTTTTGGACCCCCTCTATATCTACAAAAATTCTTAGCGAAAATGTCCAATCGGAATCTTATTCCATAGAGAATTTTGCGCAGAATTCAGTGGCGCAATCAAATTGTTTTTTCGGGTCACGGTTTTGGGGATACGATTCAAACTTATGATTTTCCAAATGAAACACCCTGTATTTTATAGGCTCATCAAATTCCTTATATTTTCCTATAAAAATGAAATATGATGTATGAATATAAAGTTTTCAAAAATGCTCCAAAATCCCTAAAACATTGAACTTTAATAGTGGGCTATGGATTTTTCATTCAAAAAAAGTTTCAATTGAAGAAATATTTCATTTGATTTTTCCATATGAAAAGGACATAATAAACAATCCCAACACTAGTTAACTAAAGATTCACAAAAATTAGGTACCTGATAGCAACACATAGGTATAAATGGTAATGAACAGTTCATAATATAAAATAAGCACCTGTTTGAATATTCATTAAGACAATTGAATCAGTGTTGGTATTGTTTTCGTCCGCTTCTTCAAAATCAAAATGAATATTCCTCCAATCGGAACTTTTTTATATGAAAAATCCATAGTCCATAGCATTTTTGAAAATCTTATATCCATATCATTTTGAAGAGAAAAAAATGAGGAATTTTATGGGCTTATAAAATATAGGGTGTTCCATTCAAAACATCATAAGTTCGAATCGTATCTCTAAAGCCATACCCCGACAAAAATGTTGGGGATTTTACTGGATTCTGCGTAAAAGAAGCTAGCCCAGAATTCTGACGAACAGTTGCAATAGAAGTATCTGTGAATAAGTAAAAGGTCGCCAACTTTCCTATGATTTTCCGAAGATTTCAAGAAAATTGTAGGTGTGGAAACACCAACCAAGAACATGACTGTTTCTTTGGATAGAATCTTAGAGCTCCATCGTATTTTCGGCTGAAAACAATATTCTAAATTGAATTAATATTTGCCTCTTGTAGTTTCCAATGAGTCATTGGCATCCAATATGTATAGATGTTATGATAGTATTCGACGTACCTTGATACACCAACACGTGAAGCGATAAAAGAATGAGGCATATAGCTGAGGTGTAAGCTATATGATGAACGTTTGTGAAAAAGTCCTTTTGGTGCCCACTAGAGATGCTATTAAGAGGCTCTTTAATCCTCGTCATTGCATAATCAACACATTGTTTCCTCTAAATGAAGAGGTTGAGGTGCTTCCTTCTGCAGGGGCCTCTGTTGGTAATCCAGTTACCAACCCAAGCTAAAGTCTATTCAATTTGAGGATATCAGCAGTGCCAGTGAGTGATGGTGACTGTTCGCTCATCATCATCAATAAATGCATATATCCCACGTAGTTTCAGTATTGTTGCCAAACCTCTCCACTTTCTATACGAGTCCGAAATCAGATCAAGTATACCTAGAATGGTCGAAGAATTTGGATTTGGACACCTCACTGATGTTATCTTCCCAAATATATTCGATGAGTTTGGCATTTTACATTCGTGATGTTTCAAATATTCCTTTATTTTTTGGTTCTTCATCTGATAGTCGCAAGATCTCAATCACTCACTAAAGGTTTGTGAAATATAAGGCATGAGACCAATAACCTGAAACCAACAAAATCTAAATAAAACAAATACCTACCTTTTCCCCCTTGCTACATAGATTTGAACTATTTTCTAGGAACATGATAGAAGTTTTTCGTTTGGTATTATTCAGTAAAGAAAAATAATGAACATTGATAATTGTTCAATACCTGAAATCGATCGAGAACCATGCATACTCAACAGTTTCTTTTCCCATTGTATCTGAGTTCTCAAGCTAGATACTACTGTTATTGATATTGATACAGTCTGACATATACCTACAATACAATCATCAGAATCATTCCACTTTAAGAATCGATAAGTAATAACAACTTGATGATCCATTCACAAAGTCAGACTTTAAAATAATCACTGAATCGTTGAATAAACATTCAGATATGTATTATTTTCATTGATTTAAGTAAAGAGAATTTGTTCGTGGCCTAGAACCACTTGTCTGTGAGTACTTTGCTGTTAAGAATCCTATACGAATTTTTGATATATGTTTCATTCTTGCAGATATCTTCCCTTGAAAGTCAACGGCACACAATTCCCTATCCCAGACGTTCCAGAATTGAAAGGAAAGAAAATATCCAGCGTCGTGGTATTAGCTCCGGTTACCTACGATTTCTCTTCAGACAGAAAAACTAGGCAAACTTCCAGACAAGTCTCAACGAAATCGAGTGATATAGAATTAATCGAAGGCACTGCTCTCAAGGATTTGTTGACTAATCCTTCATCGGAGAACTACAGGAGGTTTTTGGATAGTGAAAATAAAACTAGGAGTGACAAACAGTCTGTCATCCTATTGGTTGCAGAGTGAGTATATAATTCCTAATTCATGGTAATAGTAGGGCAGCTGTACCAATCGCTATCGTGAGCGAAACTATTGAAAAATACACTTTCTGTACGGTAGTTTGAGATAAAAATCATGCCATCTGATACCAATTGAATGATAGATCTTGCATGAAATCCCACTTTTGTCATTCCGGACATACTTCCGTTCACGTAATGACGAGTTGAAAAATAATGCATGTAAAAATCGGAAATATTTACGTGTCGCGATTCATCCTGATCTAAGTCAATATTTGATAATTCGCTCCTTTCGGAAGAGCCGATGAACCAGAACATCGAACCGATGGACAGGTGTGAAACGTTTGCGACTACTCTGATTTCCATAAAATGTAGTCACTTTGCCGTATCTGCATAGAATAATATACTCATCCACATGAAATTTCTCGAAAAAACGCTCCCTCTCCCTCTCCATCCTCCGTTCAATGAGAACTATTATCATGTTTTGATTATCCATCAGATCGAGTTACTCAGACGTGAGGTATTGCAAGCCATATATTTATTCTTTATTTTAATTTGGCATTTGGTCTCTACTTTGGAGCATCTTTTCTGTTTCTCTCAATGTGAAAGTTGCGCGTCAAGTTCCACATTGGAAGTTCAGAACCCAATCCAACCCAAACCTAACAATCACTTGATTCTTGTATTTTTCTGTATTAAATAACATGGGAAAGGCCACTGTTTCTACAAATTTTCTAAAAAAATAGGCCTTAATCTTCAAAGATATCAAGCTGGGAATTATCACTTTGAATTCCAGTCTAGATGATCATGGAATCTGAGATTTTTCAACCCAACTATGTACGCACGATGTTTCGCGAACATTGAAGGAATTTCTTTTCTCGCGCTCCAAGAGATAAAGAAATGGTTATCAAGTAAAATCGATTCGAACGTATCTAGTCATCTCAATTCGAACATAAAAATAATATGCCAATGAAAATGTGTCTTATAATATACTTTTATTTTAACGGGTTTTATACACAGTTGAAGGATAGTATCAACTTAGGAAAATATTCTGAAGAATTCTATTTAAATCCGAGAGAGCGAAGAAAACATAGTTCTTTAACCACTGGAACGATTCGGATGAGTATGAGTAATCAATATGGAATGAATAAGATCAAAAATATCAAAATAGCAGGTTCAACTCCTCAACCTTACTTAATTAGGTAGGTATCGTTCATATATCATAGTTTGTTTCCTTGCTCGTAGGATTTTTTTATTTAACACTGATGGTATATTTCATTCTCGTCAGTCGCTGCTGTTATCTTGTGACTTTATTGATGTCGAATTCACGTTGAATTCACGTCGATTATTGATGAAACTTCGCACTGATGAAGTTGTGACATCACACGGATATTTTGATGTCACATATGATGGTCATAAAATATACATCTATTCATCTACATATTATTATGAAGTTTATTCTAGCAAATTTTACAGTTCTGATAAAGGAAGAGAAATCTACATGTACGATGTTGCCACGCAGACAGTCAGCAAGCTAAGTGGCGAATTATCGTCTGCCTTTGTTGAAGCAGCCGAAGCAAATTCCGAAGATGAGGCCCAGCAAGTCGCAGCTTCGAATACCATAGAGAACATAGTTGCCTATCGAGGAGAGATTGATAGACACGATTTAGAAGATGATGAGCTAGCTGGAGCAGCTAGTGACATTGACGAATCAAAGGTAAATCTTATTTCTCCATTATTTTTTTTAATGTTCTGGTTTCCACGAAAAGGGATATCCTGTAATGTTCAGAGAACATCGTGAGAACCAAGGGAATTAAGGTAGGTATTGGTGTTCTTCTTGAATTTCTGAAGGTTTTATGCCTCGGGGAACACCTCCCTTGGTAATGTGTTCCAGAGCCTCGCTGTTCGTTGAATGAACGAGTCTTTGGAAAGAGATGTTATTTCTGCAGGTCTCCTAGTGACCACGAAGGGGTGCGAGGCCTCAACTCGACGGATTAATCTCGCGGGGACTGCCAATTGTTAATATTTCAGAAGAGCATCGTCCATGAAAATATCTATATAATAGAGCCAGATCGCCAACTTTTCTACGGTGTTCCAGGGAAGTGAGTGAGTTTGTGAGCGAGGCATCACCCACGAGACGAATTGCCTTTTTTTGGACAGAATCCAACAGTTTCAGGGTATGTTTGGGTGCTGCACTTTTAATATGGGAATAGTAATCTAGGACAGGTCGGATCTGTGCCTTATAGATCATCAGCTGACTGGAAGTGGAATAGCTCCTGGCCCGGAACAGGTAACCAAGTTTTTGGGATGCACTTTTAGCAATTGATCTCACGTGATTTTCCCAAGACAGGTTATTGCTGATAGTAATACCAAGCATCGATATCTTCAAAGGTATGGTCACTCCTGACAAGCTTATGTTGGGCACAGTGAGATCGGCTTTTCTAGAAAAAAGGCATCCTTGTGTTTTGTTTGCATTGAAAGCTACCAAGTTATTGGATCCCCATTCGAGAATTGTTTCCAAGTCCATATTTATGTTGTCAACATTTCTCCCTCGTTTCTGATTTGCCTAGCTGGTATTGGAGCTCTGGAAGAAAAGGCGGTATGGAGGGTACTATCGCGAAGCTGTGTACTGGACATGAAGTTGCTTCCAACAAATCGTTGATATGAAGTAGAGGTAGTGTTGGTGCTAGAATTGTATGTAAATGATAGATCATGAATGCGATAATAAGCTTCAGTATAAAATGTCCTTGACCTCACATAATGATTATTTAAGAGAAATGAAAAAATAAATGAAACTTGTTCGTTGCTTCGTAACTCAAAACAAGGTGTCACTGACACTATCCATTAAAATTATTTTTCAGGTACTTTGATAGTGAAATCTTCAAACGCACTAACATTTTGGAGCATATAATCAGATTTTTCTTCACTACATATAGGTATATGTCGGGTGACACAGCTAAGGTACCGGGCCACCCCTGTAACTTTGGCATATTCGTGAACGGGTTCTTCTGAAATTCGGCTACAGCTATGTAAGCAACCATTTCGGGTTTGATTACATTACAAACCAATATGGCGGACTTCCGGTTTTTCTGGAAATGTCAGCAACTTTGTTTTTTCAAATAGAACACCCTGTATATTTTTACATATTCAAGTTCACCAGGTCAAAACAAGTGCAATCTATTGTATTTTCATTTTACCTACCTCGTGGATGAATTGGATGTGGTCAAGGCTATTCACAATGAGTCCCACGTACTAGAGAAACATAATTTTCTCTATAAATTAATTTTTGTGTCATTTTTTTTGCAAATGGAAGTCTCTCTAGAACATGCATTGTACAAAATTGTAAATGATCAAAAATAAACAACTAGTTCGAATAAATATTCAATATTCAAGTGGGCTGTGGAAAACAACATTATTGATGAATTGCATTTGTTTTGACCTGTTGAACTTGAATATTTGAAAATATACAGGGTGTTCCATTCGGAATAGCAAAGTTGCTAGCATTTACAGAAAATATCTCCAATTATTGGTGCATTGAGAAGATGTCCCAAACTCGACATCAAAATTGCCAACTTAATGCTCTACTCTCATATACTAGGTCGCATCAACTATTTGATGAATGTTTGGAGATCTTGTTCAGATAATAATGTCAATAAAGTAACGTCATGTTTCATGACGTCATATTGACGTATACTACTGGGGGTTGTAAAGACGTCCCAACAGAGTCAACTTTTTGTCATTCGTGAACTCAACCTATCGAGCTCCTATAATTTCTCCAGAATTCGCGATAAAATGTAATTCTCTTTCATTAGCAGTTTGCGAATGAATATAAATAATTTCATACTTCCAGTGTACAAAAATGAAAGTTTCAATCATACTCCCATCATTAATTAACTTAAAAATACATTTGAGAATCTAATCTATAGTGGTTTTACTGAATATATGGACAGGTTTGAAATGTAGGTATGGGGGAGTTTTGCTTGTTGTTTCAAAAAAAAATTATAGCCCCTGCACTGCTTGCAAATGTTTTCTCTTTGATCCAACAATCACGCTGCACGATATGCTGCCCTTTGGCAAATTCTGTTGTTTTCCATCCTTTCGATAAACTTCACTAAGTCATCAAGCGTTTTTATCGGATAACCACTCATATTCAGCCACTAATTTTTAACTTGTGCCCTTATTATGTTTTGCTTGATGAGCAACATGCGTGTGATAGATACTGATGAAATTGTAGGGTACCTACTGGATCTTAAGATTTTCTATCCTATCTTATTAAGAAAGTTTTTTTCCACAGATTCCAGTTATCGATCCGCTACAAGAAGAACTCATGGAATCGGAAGCCTCTGATAATTTGGAAAGATTTGTTGACATCTCAGGTCACCCTGTAGAAGATCTCACCTCCAGCGATCTTGATTGGAATTCTGTAGAAAAGACTGGTCATTCATGAAAAAAATCATATTGAATATGATTGCCATTCGAAAGAGAAATAATTATGTAAAAAATAGTGCTGTGTAGTCAATATTGTAGAGTGAATATACATGTTGGTACCAACGAGCCTTCTGAAGGACAGTGGCACCATAACCAGCGCAATTTTCATGAAAATATACATCCAGAATTGGAAGTTGGGTTATCCAACCGGTTCTATTTGCCAAAAATAAAAAAAATAGCTTATATATAGATAATTCTTTAACGATGAATGAATGAAGTGTTCATTCATGAATTCCCAGATGAATAAGGACACAATCAATGCAGGTTTAGAGTACGGGTGGCCCAATTTGGACACAACTAAAGTCCAATTTGAATAATTAACAGTGTATGTGCAGAAACTGATGTCGATGCTAGGAAGTTAATTAGTATTGAAATCCGCATATATACATCATAGTTTCGATGATTACATTCTCATTGCATCTTTTCAAGTGGAAATCAATGGTCATGTCAAAACTCGTACTGCAAAAATTGTATATCGTTTTAGAGTTTTGATTTAATTTTGGAAGAACCTCCGCCACTTCCCTTATTATACTGCACCGGGAACCTAATTGATGTCTGTATTTAAACGGCTTGTTGTATGTATACCTATATCAATGGATTGTATATATATGTAGGTTATCATAACGATTGAGGTATGCTCTTGGATGAACTGTGGAATAGGAGTGTGTTGAAATTCAGTTCATGTTACCTTCATATCTGGGTAATAACCTAACCATGATCTGAATTTTGATATATTTCTTTGAGCTCAAACATATAGAGCATTTTTTTTTCAGGCACGTTCATTCATTTCGATGATCCCATGAGTCAGTTAAAAATTATGTACCTACCACTATTTTCCTAATCAATACCTCTTGCATATGGATGATACTCAGATACTTAGAACATACTGCATGAATTTATATAGAATGATTATTATTGCAAAATGACGATGTATGAAGAAGCTTTACAACTCCACTTATGGCAACTAGAGGAACTCAGTGAATGCTAGAATATATAAGGACATTTCTGATACAGGATGGAGACTTTAACTGGAATAAATTCGCTACTGAGGGAGTGAATGATTCTTCTGAAAATTCGCGAGACACGTCAACGTTTAAATTTATTTACCTATATTTAGTGGTAGCTGGAATCAACCCCAACATGTTTTTTTCAAATTCAACCCTATTCCAGCGTACTGATCATATCTCAGCTTGCAGTACGTTTGGGAGTCATAAAATCAGAATATAATTTCGAAGTTTAATAAATTATTTTCAACGCATTTTCATCAAAATTTCAACTTTAAGCGACAGTGATATAGAGCATTTCCACCAGTTTGCAATATCACTTCGTTTCGAACTATGTGAATACTGCGAAAAAACTAAATTTATTTTTGCGGCTCTATAAAAACACTGGAACACAATAACAGATAGCAGTCGTGGCGAAAAATTGCCATAAAATATTGTTCAACGCACATTTTGAGCAATTGATGCGTCGAAAAAAAATTTATTTTGAATAACATCTCAATTCCATGTAACCTTCAAATGTACGAAAAACTGAAATTTGACTAGTGCGATTGGGTCACATTTGAAAAAATCATGTTGAGGGTGGTTTCAGCCTAGTTTCAGCTACTCCTGGAGGGATATATTCTCGATAATGCTTGCAAAAGGTTGTTAAAGACATTAAATTGTTGACATAGTCGAAAATTTCAATAAAAAATATTCATTTCCCTGCTAAAGAATTCATTCCAGTTGAAGTATTTACACTGTATATTGTTATTCAAGCAAACTATATATATATAGGAGTAGGTACTCGAACTCAAACTAATGATTGTTGTTATTTGTTTTGGAAAATATAGATAGCACAGCAGCAGCAGGGCAATATGGAACAACTTCCTTTCCCATTTTTTTCAATCAAGTGTTTATTGAGTTGTACTATTATAAGATGATTGCTTTTTGCTGAATTTTAGATTTGATAGGCTCTATTAATCTATTCTATGAAAAACGATTGTATTATGACGATCAGTTCATGTAGCCAACTGAACTAACTAAATGTATAATCAACGGCGAGGAACTATTATAATGAATTCACACCTACTCAATTCTTTGAGGTTGATGATTATATTCAATTTGTGATCGAAATCAAAAACTTGGGACATATTCATGTACCTCTTCAACTACAGAAATGCAGGACTGACGATTCATATAGATGTCACTATTTAAATGCATTCAGGAAAAATTATGTCAATTGGATATAAAAGAGTTCAATCAAGTTTTGAGCTTTTTAAGAACACCATCTAGTCCTCTCCGCTTATTCAATCGACTCTTAGTTCAACTCTCAGTTCAGATGGTTC